AGCTCTTGAAACACATCATTAATGCTGCTGAAAAGAGCAGCACATGTCAAGGAAAAAACAAAAGAAGTTCTTCAAAGGTGGGTTCTGCTGTCTTTCTTAGACATAATTTTGATTTATTTTTCCTAAGCAGGAAATTAGGAGCTTGTCAAGGGTGGAGAAGAGATGCAAACTGCAGAGCTGCAGCCCCTGATAGGGTATGGCCAATATTAGGACTCAAGAAAGGGCCCAGTTTGAACAGGGCAGGCTGTCTGTGGGATTGTGCATTTGTATGACATGATGCATAAGCCAAACATTGGACTAGCATAAATCAGTGGGGAAATGAACTCAGTGGCTGGTTTTAGTCAGTGTCCAAGGTGGGAAAAGCCACTGAATGTATCACTGCATTTTCTCTTGTTCCTTTCCAGTGCTGACTACTTTTAGGGTTTTTCTGGCATCTGAGATTACTGGGAAGAAGATAGATAGCCCATTATGGTTTCTTTTGGAAGGACAAGAGTTGTAATTATCCAAAAATCACAATGGTAACTCGCGTTATCATTTCCTGATGATTGTTCATTGCCAAAATAGAGGAAAACAGATATTCCTCCTTGAACTGAAGAATAATTTTGGAATATATGAGAGGTCAGTGTTTTGAAAAACATGTGACTTCAGTAAATTAGGAATCTGGTTTTTATTTCTGGGTATGGGATCTGTTTTTTGATAAGGTACTTAGAAAAATTACACTAATAGCTGCAGAAAGCTGAGGAGATAAGAATGAACTACTTAAACCTGCTACTTTGATATTTGTTATTGATAAATTCTGCTCAACCATTTCTCACAGGGAATAGCATGTCTCTGGTGGACTATGGGCTGTACATTGATGGGTACTGAAAGTTTAGGACATCTGGAGCTTTCCAGTAATATGGCTCCACAGGTAATTTTTTCATTTGGGAGCATGGAAATGACATTGCCATGGTCCTTTCCCAAAGACCCCTTGTCTAATTTGTTTTTCTCCCAACTCTTAATGTATATTTTAAGGTTTCTGAGGCTGGAATTCATGATTTTGCTCATGTGTACCATGCCAAGTGCAGTGAAGTTCTGCTCCACATCTTGGTTGCAACCATTACAACCAACAACTTCCATAATGGTGACAGCTCACCTCAGCTGAGCACTAAAATTTGTGTCAATGTGAAGGAAAGTTGTATGGGGGCATAGAAGGGAAAAAAATTGATGTTCCTCTAGACTAGGAGGCTGAGCAGCTCAGCCTGAGATAGGTTTCATTAGACTCCCACCTAGCAGAATATGGGGAAAGCAGTGAAAATAAACAATATAAAAGCACAGTGGGATCCAAGCAGTTCAAGATGTTGAGAGCAGACTGGAGAATGGGAAGGGAACCTGGAAGGAAGGAATGTAGTCATCAGGGAAAGACTGAAAAAAGGGAGGTAGGGATATCTGCAAAGAGGGAAAGAGCATGTGCAGATGGCTACAGTCAGGGGAAGCAGTCAGAGGTTCTGTTCCTCTTTTGCTTTTTGTGAGGAGCTGGATCTCCCAGAAATGTCAGTGAAATGTCAGTCTGACACCTATGTATCTTTGCTCTGCTCTGTGGCTGAGTGAAGAGCTCCCCTCCTGTTCAAATGTTAGTTTTAGCTGCTTTCCACTTGCTATCAAAGTGAGAGGGCATAAAATCCTAAATCAAATGACAGGAAAGTTTGGGACTCTGTTGAATCTAACACCCTCCTCCAGTTTCATATTTTGAAAGATTTATTCACATTTCTGCCCAAGCTGCACTCTTCTAAGTAGGTCTTTTCAGCCAGCCAGAGTATGTCTGTATCTAAACAGAGCTTGAACTCAAACAGTAAATGAAAGGCGTCTCCAGACCTGCGTGGTGCCCTATGGTACTTCATCCTTGGTATTATCTGAGACTGTAAGAGGTTCTGTGTTTTTATTTGGTGTTGTCCTTTTCCAAATAGTATGACCAGAATTGAATACTTTGGAAAGATTTCATGACAAGTTCAGGCTGTAGGGGCTTTGTCCTGCTGATAGAGGTGATGGACCTTCTACACTTTTCATTTTTTAAGCTTTTATTTTTGAATGCTTTTAGGTTGTGGGCAGCCACCTCTGTGGTCAAAGTTTATTACAATGAGGATGTCTTTCTGGTGGCTTAACAGTTTGCTGTTTGCTCTAGCAAGCATTTAGAACAAGGTTTTAGATATGAGCATTGTAGTAATCTCAAACAAATCAAAAGAAACACATAAGGGGCTTTTCACTGTTCCTGTTTTGACACTTAGCAAGATTGGAACAAAATTTGGTGCTTCTCTTCAGATGTTTTATACCCCAGATAGCTGAGTTGAGATATGTTTGACCAAATGTCTACCATAGTAATACCTCTTGTGATTTGGTGAGCCTGGCCTTGCTGGTCATCCAGAAAAAAGACTTTCAGTCTGATTTCAAATGAATCATGTTCTATAAGTGTCTATATTTCTCTGTCTTTGCTACAGAAGGAGCTCAGGGCAACCAGGTCATTAACAAAATAGATGTCCCTGCTGTAAAATCCTATAACTACTTGAGAATCAGACCTCCCTTAGATACCAGCAGTGTCTTCAGCTCACCACGTTGCCTCATGTCAGCAATGCCCAGAGACAAAGACCATCCTTTATCTCTGTAGTGCTATTGTTATGGGAAAGGGTGCCAGGAAATTCTGTACTGGATAGGGAATCCTGTGAAGTTAAAAAGTCAGCTGTGAAATGTGTTCCCTCTGGGAAGAAGTCAAATATAAGAAGCAGGAATACAATTATTCTTATGTTATCGTCGTAGGCAACAGGCAATCCCATCAAGCTGCAGAGCTTGGATAGGTGTTAGGAAACATGGTGAGAGAAGGGGCAACAGATTGACTTCAGGGCTGAATAGCTTAGGCAAGCTCATATTTTGCTCATCTAATAATCAGGGCTTGGTTTAGTGGTGAATACAGCAGTGGTGTTGGGTTGATGGTTGGACTTGATGATCTTAGAGGTCTTTTCCAACCTTAACAATTCTGTGATTAATAAAACCTCTTGATATAGGAGTAAGAGAAATTGAGAAGCTAGTCATCCCTGCTGACTTTTACAAGAAGTGCAGGGATATATCTTCCAAGTTCCAGAATGCTATCATCTCATTTTACAGGTTCTCTGTAAATTAAGACTAGTTTAGAAGTGTTGGATGCTGATTCAGCTAGAGCATTCCTTTGTACCGCAAAGAGAGAGGAAAAAAGTTAATGTTTAATAGAGTTCAGTTTTGATGTCTTTGGTCCCATTACCATGCCAGTTCTGGTCCTACACTTGCATGTTTTGCAAGACCAAGGAGACAGTTTGTGAATGGGAGTGAATGGGAACATAAGCTGTGGTTCTTAGAACAAATAAGTCTTGACGCATTAACCTCAAGCTGAATTTCAGCTTTCCTGGATCAGCAAAATTCTGGGTATCTTGTTTGCAAAACTGTCTAGAAATTCAGTTACTGGTGCTAAGTATTCACATTCCTTCTGACCTATTTGTTCATAAGTATTGAGATGGGGTTTCTACTTTTTACCACATATGAAATGCATGAGAAATCATTCACCTATGAAGCAGCCATCTCTATTATGAAATATGGCAACTTGCTAGAGCACAATATAATGTTCTGTATGGGCATAAAAGGAGAGCAAACAACTTTTTCTGAGTTAACTACTTAAGGAATTTTAGGTCAGTGAAAGGTAATTACCCAAAAATTAACTTGGCCCATGTGTACAGGCTAACATCTGTACTGTTGTGAACTAAATGCCACAGATGTCTTTATAACAAGTAACAGATGCACACAGTGCTTGGATTTCAGATCTCATCTAAAAATCTTCCTGTTATAGGTGGCCCTTTCCCTCACTCCTTCCCCAGCCCTACACAGAGCTACTGGCTCAGACTGCTGTCTGCTGCACACCTCATGGACAGCCTCTTGTACTACAGCTTTGCTTTAAAGAGATGGAATTTTATTTACAACAGCTGGCACTGCAGCCCTTTGTTTGCAAGTCAAAAAATACAGTTCACTGTATGACCAGAGAGTACAGCTGAGAGAGCAACAGCCCAGTGCAACACAGACATTTACAAAGATAACCTCTTACTTGTGTTGGAGACTGTTTTCAGCAGATCTGGTGAGTCAGTGGAAATAAATTCTCAGAGCCTTGATAAAGGCACAAACACAGATGTCAGAAAGCCGCAGCCAAAGAAAGCACTATTGTTACAGGATACTGAGCAATATGAAGTGTTAAACAGCTATTTTTAAAGTGAATATTAACTTCAAACTGATGGTACAGGTCTTTGTAGGGAGCTTTCTCCAGTGGAAGCAGAAAGGTCATGAGCATCAGAGAGGTGGAAAATGCAATGACTTTGCTAATGCTGCTGCACAGCCAGAGCTCTGAGGCTGGACATGGGCAGGACCCAAGTGTAGTCACAATGGGAGATGGCAGATGCATCCTGCATTTGCAGCGTGTTGGATGATGTGCTTGCCTGCCATACGGATGGGCCCTTGTACTTTGTGCAGCTTCCAGCTGTCTCACCTGACCCTGCAGTGGTGTCTCTTGGCTGGAAGCAGAGATTTGGTGCCCAAGGCAGCTTGTTGCAGAGGCACATGGGCTGGGCTCACCAGCTGAACTGATCCAGGTTACCTGTAGGGTGACCTGGGATTCCCTCTGGCACAACTGGGCAGCTCAGGCACTGCAGTGATGTGACCAGTGTCTACCAGGGACACAGTAAAGTCTGCATTTGTCAAATAGTTTTGAGGGCTGTGATGAAGAGGGTGAAGAAGTGGGCATCTCCCCTTCCCAATCTATGTGGGCACAAATCCTGCAGATAAGTCTGGTGCTGGGCACCCTCAAGGCCTGGGACAGCTCTGTGTGCTGCTGTTTTCCCTGGCACACTCAGATGTCCTCAGTAATGTGCTGCCCTTTGGTGCAAGAGCTCCACGTGCTGCACTGGGGACAGGCTGTAAAGTGCTGCCTTTCTGACCTCCCCCTTTCCTTCCAGAGGACATCTCTGTCAGCACTGGAGCGCTCAGAACAGCAGATCAGGAGAGCATCCAGCCTGGAAGAGCTGCTTCACATCACTCACTCTGAGGACTGGAAGCTGTGGAAATGCAGGCTAAAGCTGAAGAGCCTGGCCAACCTGGACTCCCGCTCTGCTTCTCATCGCTCCACCAGATTTGCTGCTGCTTTCTATGATATTGACACACTGAAAGGTAGGTGCAGGTTTGTGGCCAAGTCTGATCTCAAAGCCCCCCACTGATTCTTGTGCAGTAAACTGTGAAGGAGGTAAGGGATTTCCTAGAATATACCCATACTAGAAACAACAGGGCATTTCTGGACAATTACTTTGTAGGAAAAAGTGTCAGACAACAGCCTGAGTACACCTCCCTGTTCTGGGGCCAAATCAGGCTTATTTTCTCTGCATACTCTCCAAAGGGAAGATGTACTCTTCAGGGATTTGTCAAGTGCACAAAAGAAAGACAAGTCAATGTACAAAAAGCAGGTCAGAATGACTGGATGATGGGCTGGAGAGCAGCACTGTGCTGCATCTCGGAACTTGCTTGCAGGCAGAAATGAATAAACTTTACTGCAGGCATAGAAATCCCTTTTTTATTAGGTGTGCTCTGATACAAGGCAGTGCACCAGCAGCAGTGTCTGTGTGGGAACTGAGAGAAAGAAGGGGTTGCCCTAACCTTGATCTGTTTGAGGAAGTTTCTCCAGAGAAAAGAAGATCTTGAGGCAACCAACCAGAAATGAAAAGTGGAGAATCACAACCTACTCCTTCCATCTGGAGCAAGTATGAACATTATTCCTTGTAGGTGTGAGGCTCAAGAGGCATTACATATTCATGGATGAAAAAACAAAGGATCAGTTACCATATTTTGGTCCAGCAAATGGACATCCTACAGCAAAGCTAAACTGCAGCCTGATGAAGGACAGGCTGAGATAATCTTTGTTGTCTTTATCCTGCTGTGATATTATCATATCACTTTCCTTTTGGGAAATCAGATATTACTGATCCTGTTCCAATACCACTTTTACAACAACCCCAGCCACATTCACACACCATTACTCAGCTAAATTATGTCTGAACAAAGGCCTTAAATTGCTTCTCTGAGCCACAACACAGAAATGTGTATACAAGTGCCTGTCTGAAGAGGATTTTCATATCACAGGCATGGCTTTACATTTTTCACAGAAATTTTGTACAGGAAAAAAGTTAAAACAAATACACACATGAAGAACAATTAAGACAGCTTTTAATAGTGATAAACATTTTGCTTACACACCCTTGTAATTCTACTTAAAAACATTAAAAATCCATAGTTATTAGGAGTACCCAGAGTCAAGTGGTGTAATCCTCTACTCACTGTTGCTCATTTAGTGAACACCAACATTTCTGCAAAACTAAAACATCCCTTTTGTCAAAACAGCATGACAAAAGGAGATGTTATTAAATGTTACTGAGGCAGGGAACATTGAAATGGGCATTTTTCAATGGCAGACTAGTGTAACTCAGTATTTATAATGTAAATAATGTTCAGATAATAAGGTCACTATGACATTTAGTGTGCTGTGAATTATTTGAGATGGTCACAGGGCTGGAGCACCTCTCCTAAGAAGTCGGGCTAAGAGAGTTGGGGCTGCTCAGCCTGGGGGAGAGGGCTCCATGGAGGTCTAATTGCAGCCTTCCAGTACCCAAGAGGGAGCTGCAAGACAGCTGGAGAGAGACTTTTCCCAAGGGCATGTAGTGAACCTAAAAAAGGGTAAGTTTAGATAAGATATTAGGTTGCCCAGAGAAGCTGTGGATGACACATCCCTGGAGGTGTTCAGGGCCTGGCTGGATGGAATATTGAGCATCCTGGTCCAGAGGAAGGTGTTCCTGCCCACAGCAGAGGGGTTGGAATTTGATGATCTTTAAGGTGCCTTCCCAACTAAAATGTTCTGTGGTTCTATTTTACTATGGTAATATTGATAAAGTTTTCTTAATAGCTGTTCCAAGTTTTCTGCTTGGAACTGCTATTAAGTTGCTTGCTATTTTCCCTTTGAAAGTCTAAATTCAGACACAGAGATGTCAGCTTTCTCATTAAAAGTCAAGGTGCTGAAATTCAAGTTTAAAAAAGCCCATTGGGGCTGGCCATTCTTCCATTGAAAGTGGAATTATTCCAGGACAGCAAGTACTTTTGTTCTAATGTATTAATATGTTCAAGGTACTAAAGCTCCTTTTAAAAAACCATAAGCCCATAAACATGTATTTCTTTCCCACACCCTTTCCAGTCATTAAACAGTGACCTTTCTGCCAAGTGCATCTGTTTTGTTTTAATAAAATGTTTTGATGAGAAGGCTAGGTCAAGACTTATCATTGTTTCACTAGAGTATCTTCCACAGCACTCCAAATTCCATCAGGGAAAATTCAGGACTCTGTTCCTCCTTTCTAAAGCTTTAACAATGAATTCACTGGAAGTTTGTGTCACTTCACCAAACCACAGTCTCCCCTGAGCTGCTCAGTCACTAAGGACTGCAGCACTTTGAAGCTGAGGACTGTATCACAGACAAATTTCTCAGAAGCTGCTCTGTGTTTGGTCTCAGAAATGACCAGGGTGACAAGATGAACAAGATGTGACACTCAGTTGCTTGGCAGCCAGTTCCTGTAGCAGCCCTTCTGCTAAAGAAGTGGTTAATAAAGTGAGGATGTGTGCAGCTGGAAAGGTCATCGCTGCTTGTGCTCATTGAAGTGACATCTGAAGTGATTACATGCACGTGCATTAATGAGTTTGGCAAACACTTTATATTTATTTTAATGTTAGGATGAGATTGGTGTTTTGATAGAACTAACATTACTCTAGAAAATTCTATCAATTTTAGTGATTATTCTTCTCTTAATTTATGCCTCTTCTTCACAATTCAGACATCAAACTCTTATTTCTTCTACTCTGCATGACTGAAAAATGGAGCAAATCAACCATGTTGAATTGAATTGAATATATTCAGGAATAAACAAAATTATTTAAATATACAAAGTCTGTTGAAGAAAAAGTTAAAAATAACAAAAGGAAAGTCAGGAATGAGAAAAATAGATCTTCACCTGAAGGCGAGGTATAGTTTGTAGGTTAAAAGAATTCCAAGATTTATTTTTTCTCAGAACTTCTCTGTAAATGTAGGAACTGCTTTTCCAATAGTAGGGAGGTGGACTGTGCTGGAAGAGAGAGCATTTTTTAATAGTTTAAAAGTTGCTTTTCATCTTTCACAAGCCTGATGTAAGGGGTAAAGAAGAAAACAGTTTTTCATAATTTTAAGAAGAATTTAAGCATAAGCATTGATGACTCATGAGCAATTCCATAACTTGAATCAAGCAAGCAAAAGGCAAAAAAAGGAGAGCCACCTCTTGAGAAAACTCAAGACTGTATTATGTTTATTAGGTAAATGTCACTTTTTTCTCAGTCTGGCTCAGGCAGCTAATGCATTATTCCTTCTCACAGTCAGAATTTGACAAATCTGTCAAGCCAAGTCAACTAGTCTACCATAATTCAGAACTTGAAAGATGCCATGGTGTTCTGAACAGACAACTCACGCTTGAATTCATATTCCTGTTATTCAGCCTGAACCCCCTGGTGGTACTGAGGTGTGAGACTGTTTGTCTTGGATTTCCCTGGGCATTTTGGAAACTGTGCTCTCTGGCTGACATCCACCAGGAGTACTCCAACCCTCTGACCAGAATCTGGTAGTCATTAATGTGCTTTTGCACTAAGGCCCAGGCCCTGCTGAGTGCGTGGTGGGGCACGCTCAGAGAGGGGATAAGGTGACAATAGGAAAGGCTACTCAGGAGCAAAGGGGAACAGGGTGTGGGGCAGCTTGCTCAGATAGACACTGTGGAGCTGGGGACTCTCAACTAAGGGAAATCAATGCAGCTCTACCTGATCTGCTGGAATTAACAGAGATTTTGCTCATTTGCATTGAAAGCTAAAGGCAGATAAATGCAACAACCTCTCTGCCAGCGCAGCTGTTGTAAGTTACTGGGATAATTTTGCACTCAGGGTCCCTCTGCTCTTTAGATTGATCCAAATAAGTGCAAATTGATCCAAGTAAGTGCAAATGGCCTGCCAGCACTTCATTTTTATTAATATAATGCTTCTGCTTCACTAATCAAGAGGTTTAGATTTGCCATGATTGTTCATAAAAATGCTGTTCTCTCCAGTCATAGATGAAGAATGGCAAAAGACTCAGTGTGTGCCAAGGGAAACCTGTGTAGAAGTTGCCAAAGAACTGGGTACAACAACCAACAAATTTTTCAAGCCTCCCTGTGTGAATGTGTTCAGATGTGGAGGCTGCTGCAACGAGGAGAGTCTCAGCTGCATGAATACAAGTACAACTTACGTGTCGAAAACGGTAAATGAGGCTATTCATCTGTTTTCTTTTTACCCTGGCTCACCAAAAAGGGAGGGGAAGGAGGATGTTTGGTTTCTGAGATCCTGTTATGAAAGATCTGTCTGCACTATCATAACAAACAGAAGAATTAATTCTTTATCCATGTGGAGTGAATGCAGGAGTGTGCAATAGCATTTTACATCCATGTTGCATTATTAAAAATTGTTTATATATGTGTAGAGATGGAAAATCAGGTCCTGAGAAAGTGACTGCAGGCTCATGATAATCAGAAGTTAGATCCTTCTTTAATATATTGTCACTTGGACTGGGGACCCCTTGAGATCATTGTCTCCTGGGAATCCTCTGTATCCAAGGTTTAACCCCAGGAAATTTTGTTGTGTTGGGTCGCTGCCTTTCAACATTCTCATCTGGGCCAAGAAGGCTGGCTAATAATTTTGGATGTGCAATTTTGCATGCCAAAAAAGAAGACATATTCATCAGGAGAGACCAGATGCTCTCAATTAGCATGCCTCAGGATCTGAATGTCCCAGTTCACACCCCTCTTAGGGAAAGAGAGGCACAAACCAGTAGCCAATTACTAAATGGGTGCAACAGGCGATACCCAAGTTTTAATGACCAGTCCCAAAAACTGAGCATAGACAGCTTCTTTCTGTAGACTCCTACTAGAGGCCATGTACAGAGATATCTTGCTCCAGTGGGTGACTGAGCAGAGCTCCAACTTTAGTACTTTCAATCCACCCTGTGGCTGAAGCCATCCATTGCTCAATCTGGCCTAGTGGGTGGCACCCCTGCCCTTGGGAGGGGGTAAGGGGTTGGAACTGATCTTTAAGGTCCCTTCCAACCAAGCCTTTCTATGATTCTATGATTCATACCCACAGATGAAGCACATGACACTGGTCCTCTTTGATAAACCTTCATCTTGTGCATTCCTATTTCACTTGGCATAACAAATGAAATTCTACTTATGATAAAACCTTTTCTTTAAATCATAATAAAGATCAAGGGCAATTGTTTCAAAAAGAAAATTGAAGCCCTTATGGGGAACAGGTCCAATTCACTTCTGTATTTATTTTGTGTTTGTTGGAATGTAATTCCACTGTGTCTGGTTGTACTGGAATATAGCTGGAGTAAAATAAATCAGGGCCTGTCCTTCTTGCGTCAATGCTCATTAGTTGCTTTCATTCCACACCAGAAGGAGAAAGCTGTTATGAGCTGTTGGCCACACACAAAAGACATCTGATCAGCTCAGGGAGCTAGGTCAGGCTAAGTATTTATTTATTTATGTGTTTTTTGAGCAGCAGTTCATAAGTTTGTTGAAAAACTGCAATTTTGCAGAGTGTAACATTCCTTTAGCATCCTTCAAAATAAGCATTCCCTCCAAAGTCCCCAGCTAAGTTTCGTTTCTGGATACACCACCATCAGTCCAGATTTATTCATCTAATGGAATTATTCCCATATTTCCATATGAGAGGATTTTTTCCCTTGGTATAAAATATCAGCTGGAGGATATTGATGCCACCTAAAGTTAGACACTGCAACATGTAAGTTTTAATGCCTAAGCAGTCTGCTTAGGAATACTCAGTCCCTGCAGGTGGATGCAGCTTTAAGCCAAGACGTGCTGGCACACCAAGATGTGCGCAATGCTTTGGTTTCCATGGGAAGGAAGCTGGTTTGAGGGGCAGAGGGAGTGTGGGTCCCCTCAACAGCTCCTACACAGAGCTGCCCAAGGAACCAGAGCCTCCTCACCCCTACTCAGAGATCACTCTTCACAATTTGGGTGCACTGAAAACAGGCTGCTTTGCTCCTTCAGCTCCTGCTGTAGCCAACAGAGAGAGAGCTCAAGGATGATTCCGTGCCGAAACCCAGCTGCAGCAGAATGAACTTTCCTCAATTTACTCCTGTTTCTTCCCTCTCTGAGGAGGCTGTGGGGGTTAAGTTAGGTCCCTAAAGATGCATACTGTGATTATACCCAAGGACAGTTAAATAGCTGTCTCTGAAAGTAGTAGAGACTCAACTGATGGTGCAACCAAAACCAAAGTTCTCAACACCTACCTCTTTCCCATTTGGCCCTAGCATCCAAAAGAAGTTTTTGTGTTTGCTTGCAAATAATTTTGAGTAGTCTTGGGTGTTTAATAGCTGTAATACAGCACTAGGACTCCCATTTTGACAAGTTCCTACCTTGATGGGCATTGCTTACTCTTCAAAACCCCCAGTTCACTTCTGCTCATTTATATTTATGGTAAATATCTCTAGATAAGAGCAAGGGTGGGGAAAATGGTAGAAAGGAATACAAGATTTTTCTTTAAAATTGTAATTATTAATTAACAATTAACTGTAGAATGGAAACTGAAAAATAAATGTTATTTTTGCCATCTAGCTCTTTGAGATCTCGGTTCCCTTGACAAGTGTTCCTGAGCCTGTGCCCATCAAAATTGCCAATCACACGGCCTGTAAGTGTACATCAAACACCCAGCGCCAGCAGTACACCATCATACGAAGATCTGTCCAGTACCCAGAGGAAGATGGGTAAGTTCCCTCCTTTGCAAACTTCTACACACATTGAAATTGTTTTGTCCTGATTTGCATGTTATAATGGTCCATTCTCTTTCTGTTATCCCAACAGTTTTTCTGAATAACTTGGTTATCACTCAGGGTTAGAAAATTCACCCAAACCATGTCAATTTTAAGTGAATGGTCATCAGAATCCAACAAACTGATGGCAGTTCAGCAGCATCTGGAGTCACTGAGATATTTATGTTCTTCAGCAGGAACTCCAAGTGCTCATATGGGCACTATGCTCCACTGGAGCTATTTGAGAATGTGTGCATACACATTTTCAGCCTGACACAGGAGCTCTGCTTGTGCATTATTTAGCCAGGGCACACTGAGCTCTGTGCTCAAGCTAAAGCCCTCTGCCACACTTTATGGCATTTTGGGTCAGAATCAATGTGAATCTTGGCTTTTCACTTTTGATCCAGTCTTGGTTTGCATCTGTTGGGCTCATGGACAGGAGAAAAGTGACCTCACATCTTACTCCAAAATGTGGCATAAAATACTAGTACTCCTGGTGAGAAAAGGCTACATAAATAAACAAAGGCTCTAGAAACTCAGCTGGCTTGAGTGACTCACTGGAAGTCAGCTCGAAAATCTGTCAAGCCCTGCATTTGGCATTTGGTCCCCATCACTGCCCCTGAGTTGGACATTGTGGGGGCGAGAGGTGTCATTTCAGCAAAGCTACTCCAGCCCTCCCTCAGCCTGCTGGCCACTCTGAATCCTTTTTCTTGACAAATACAGAAGAACCTCCTCAGTCTTTTTTCAGTTTGTGAGTTTCTCCCCCAGAGCAAAGGGCCTGAAAGTCAATCTGTTCCTCTGACACTGAAATAGTGCCCTGTGCATCCATGAGCATGCACAAATTAAACTGGAACTGAACCTTCTGGCAGCAAGGCAAAATTCAGTAAATTTACACAACATGAATACTGCAGGACAAAGACCACCCTGCCTGGGGTAAAGCTGTTTTATGGAAAAGTGGAGCTGCAAAACTGTAGCTTTTTCCTAAGGCTGTAATCTGAAATAGGTGCTGAACTTTCTTCCTTTGTTGCTGGGAGCCAGAGAGCTCCCCCCTGTCATCAGAGCCACCCAGACCCCGTTCCTGCTGTTTGCAGCAGTAATGCACACTGTAATGCCAGGCCTTCACATGGCACAGGGGGCAGACCTAGCACACCAGCAGCTCATTTTGCCAAATGGCTACTCTGATGCCCCTAATTATCTTTTTTAATTCCTATCTCAATTTCTTTTTCTTCTAGATGCCCCTTTGCCAACAAATTTTGCCATAATGGATGGATCTGGGATAGTGACAAATGTGAATGTGTTATAGACACACAGCACTCCAGCAGACGAGAAGGTAAAGATGGAATGACAAAGAGACACTTTTGCATATTCTCTCCAAGCTCTTTGTCTCTCATTCTGGTCATCTCCTCACTTTTTTTACATCGAGAGAGTTAAAGTTTTTATTCCACATCTCTAGATAGCCTTGGATTATGGTGTGGAAACTCACCTGAAAATAAACACACATATGTGCTTCCCCTCATCTCATGGTTTTTTGTTTTTTTTGCTTGGATGTTTTACTCTCTCTGTATCAGCAACCTGAGTAGGACATAGGAAAATATTTATAATATTTCGTGAAGTAGGCTCCCTGTGCAAATTTTTATTTCACATGTGCCTTAAATTCTATGATGGGCATTCAGAAATCTTCTCAACTGTAGAAAAAAATGCCCTAGAATACATTGCATGGGGCAGGTACTATTTTTATTATTTTATTTTTAGTTCTTAAGAAAATAATTAATAAGCAATAAGATAAACAAAACCAGTCCTGCACATTAGCTGTTGTCAGTGCAAAAAATTATATAACTTTTCAAAATACTTGAGCACTTTTAATGATAATCTTAAGTTATTCAGGAATCTTTCAAACAGATATACCCTACATATTCAGGAGCATGTCTGTATACTTCTTCAGCTCTGTGGAAGGAAATGGAAGAGGATAAAATTTGTAGAAGAATAGTAACTGCCTGTCTTCCTCTGCTTCTGTAAAATTTTAATTTGTCAAAGAAAATTGCAGGAAATATTCTGGGTGATAATTGTGTAAATCTAAACACACTTATTGGCAATAAATATTAAGAGAAATATTTTTTTCTCCAAGTCCTGTGTAAAGTTTTTAAAAATTGTTTTTCTCAGGAAATTGTATTGGTCAAAATAACACAATCATAGCACTAGAGGAAACAGACAGAGAAGGAAACCTTGCCTTTGTGTTTTAAGCTACATTCAGCAAAAGAAAGAATAAACCATTTAATGCAACAATAAATCAATCTGCTGAGCGATTCCTAGACTAGCAAACTAAAACAAAGCTAAATAACCTCATAAACTGGTCTAGTGATTGCAGTCTCCTAATGTTAATAAGCAAGAAATAATTTGCATAGTGGTTTCTGTTGGATCTTTTCTCACTCTGGATAAGATCCTCTGCCCATCAGGTTAGGCAGTCAAACGCAAGTTAGACTTCCCAGTCCAGAAAATATTAGTACTCTATTTTAGACTGAGTCTGAAGGACTGAGAATAGCCAGAGCCCTCTTAACTCAGAGTCTTTTGTATAGTCAGCTTGGAGCATTAAAATCTGTGGCTTGCAACAAAGGCAATTATGGCCTTTGTTGACATACACTCAATACTTCCTCAGAAAAAATATCATTCTCTGAAGTACATTGTGTTTGGCAAGTGGCTGGGACAAAATAACTTAAAATCTGCCTTTGATGTTGGAACAAAGTGAGATTGAAAGACTCAACACCACTTCACACATGCCAGGTTTTATCACCCGAAGGAAAGGGTTTGTCTTCCAAGAATTTTGGGCAGACTCCCTCCTTGCTTTCAATAGGCCTTAGGTTTTATTCTGTTGAGATATTGGTTTTTCATCATTGAGTAAATAATAATAAAAGTTTCTTTCAAGTAAGATGCAAGCCTTTGCTGGCCACTGAGATCAGGGATCAGATGGCAGAGGTGCAGGTTACATTTCACATTCCATAGGTTATATCCATGAGCTAATTGTAAAGCTACAGGAAATTACCTTCCCAATGACACCTTATATGCCATGACCTTTAACCAGGGATGTGCTGCTTGCATTTTAATAAAGCTTTCACAAAATGTGTTCCCTTTTTGCTAGGATTAGCTTCATATTGTACTCCAGATGTGCATTTTCAGGGAAGATATTAGACAGTGAGTTCCCTTGTCTGTTCTGGCTTTTTTTTTTCTGAAATGAAGTATTTTCTTTCATCTTTGACAAATTTGAATGTGCTCCTTGTTGAAATGCTAGGCCAGCTTGCCCCATAGCAGACATAGCATTACTGCTAAAAAATTTCTGCAGTGACTGTGTAGTGAAGTACACATGTGGTGGGTGTGGTAGTTTGCATGGATTTGCCTTTTTGTCACGGGTATGGACTAAATCCTTTTTGAGATTATCTTTTTAAAACTTGCTGTCCAGTAAATATTTGTGCTTTCCAAAGCATAACACTAGGCTCTTGCAATAAACATCACCCAAATTTTTTGTGTGCTAAGTTCAGCCCACAAGAAATAGCAGAATTAGAATAAAGTGAAATAATCAGTGCAATCCTCTCTAGTCTTTTTCTGCACAGGAAGTTGCAACAGAAATTGTGAAGTCTAGAATCTATCAGAAACTACATGTGCGAGTCCTAACGAATATAGAACATACAGAGTCTGTTCAAAAGCAGGATTTAGCCATGTAAAGCTTACTGCTAAAAGATGTATGTGCTATTGCAGGACTCCCTCCTCTTGCTGAGCTGGCTATGTGTGGACAACATATGGAATTTGATGAAGAAAATTGTGAATGCATCTGTAGACATAAGTGTCCCACAGATTTCTTTCAAAGTAAAGAGAACTGCAGCTGCTATTTGTGTAGGGAGAGCCAGGAGAGCTGTGCTCTAAAACACAAGATATTTCATGCTGAAACCTGCAGGTAAGTGATCCTTGCCATTCAGAATCTACACTGCAAGAGCTGAATTAGAGATGCAAGTGCCTAATTGGCTGGGAGGTCCACTTGGGATAAAATACCTTGCTGAAGTTAGGGAGATTAATAATAATAATAATAATAATAATAATAATAATAATAATAATAATAATAATAATAATAATAATAATAATGGTGATTGTATTTTCAATACAATACAATACCGTATAAAAGGAATCTAAGGTTTGTTTGTATTTTTAAGAAATCTGGACAAGGCCACTATTCAAGTGTCAATACTTACTACCTTTTTTTTTTGCTAATCTTTAGGGAATGATGATTAAAACTGTACTACAACTGCTATTAGTTTTTGCAATGAGATAGAGTCTTGTAGGTAGGCAGAACCCATCCTGTGCCAGCTGTTTGCTGCACCAGCTGAAGGCAATCTCATGGATGGTTAGGGACAAAGGCTTCCTAAATTTGCACACAGAGCACACAGCACATTCCTTATCCAGTTTGTCCTCAGAGCAAGCAATTTTCTAAACCTAATGCAATTTTGTACACATATAAATCTACTCAACCAGCTCTAACTCCACTGAGAAGCAGGAAAATGGTTCTGGGGCTACTATGCTCCATGAATTTCCCTAATCTGTTTGTATTATTAGTTTTGAGGTTTCTGTGTCAAATCTCAGATAGAAAATGCTCTCATGGATTAGTTAAATTTTAAATTTTTCAGAAAGCTTTGGTCCCGTGTAGAGGCCCAGGAGCATGCAGTAGCTTAATCTCAAAGTTTATATAAGGATAGTCAGCAGCCAGTTGCCCTGGGTACCTTGGCAGAACTGTAGCTCACTGAGTGGTCACCCACAGGGTTCACTCCCAGTGACTTCATAGGCTCATTCACAGGGAAGATGCTGTGGAAGAATTAACATTTGCATCTTCAGGTTCAGCTTTAAAAACAAGGACAAACACAAAATATAAAGTATAAAAATAGCTAAAACAATTAGCTGAGCTAAAAATGAGCATGAAAAAATTGGTTATTTATATGTTTCAGACAGGTGGGAGGGGAGCAATGTAATAATTTGTTTACATGAATTTGGCTTCTACAAATTCCTGTAATCTGGATGCAGGACCTTAATGCCAGACTTCCATGCAGTATTTCTGGAGGAGCAAAGCTGAATCATGAAGTGAGACCAGCTACTTTGCAGAGTCCAAGGGCAGCACTTTCCAGTGCTAACCCTCAGGACTTCACTGGTTTCAAAAAAGGAAAACATCACTTAATTGTGAATCTGGACAAATGGACCACTGCAAGACGTTGCTGTAGACAGAAATTGTGAGGCAGCAAATTCTTGTCTCCCCCTGTTGTAGGATGTCAACATCTTTCCAAACAGTGTGTAGGGAGCATTGCAGTGTTCAAAGATGAAAAAGTTGAGGAATGTGACAGTGAAGAATTTTCATATTAAAATGCTTTTCTCTTTTGTGTTCTTTCTCCTTTATCAAACAGTTGTGAAGACAGATGTCCATCCCAACCCAGAACATGCCCAACTGCCAAACCAGTGTGTTCCAGGCATTGTCGCTGTCCAAAGGAGAAGAGAGGTTCTCATGGGTCCCAAAGCAGAGAAACTCCTTGACTGAGCTTCCCCTATTCTTTGAAAATCCACTGCTTTGCAAAGTAGCTGTCACTGACTTTCAAACAATAGTAAACATGAACATCTTCCACATTAATAGCAGAAGAATTAATCCAGTCTGCATTTATTTATTAATCACTAACTGCAAGTGAATCCTCTGGAACATTGGTTATTGTTCTCTAAGAGGTAACAACAGCTGATGAATCTCTGTCTGCATGGAAGAAAGATTGGAAAGTAGCAGTTCAATGTTACATTATGGAAGATGAAACTGTGTATTGGAAATAGAGTCACAGTCTCCAGCCAGTCGTTCAGAAATTGAGACTTGATAATCTTAGCCTCTGAGTCCTTAGCTAATGCAGCTCCTGGGTAAAACTTTCTTCAGAAATTCAGTGTACAGGATTTGGCTTCTAATAGGTTCAGCACTGAGTTATTTGATCTACTGTTCAGCTTTGATTATCATTTTGTGTTTATTGTACAACTACTGTCAGATGTGCCATATTTAAGTGTATATAAGAAAATAAATACATCAGTTATTCGAGTGGATTTGATTTTTCTCTGTTATTTTAAAACTCTGCCTAACAAAAAGAAAATAAGAAAAACCCCATAGCCATTTCAATACAGCTTTCTTACATTTGTTCCACGGGGACTGGCTCCTGCCCAAACCCAGGTCGAAACAAGGTCACTTGACCCAATATTTTCAGTAAAAAAGAGGCATTTTTTTCCCCAAGTCTGCTTCAGAGCATGTGTGATTTATTTATTTGTTCCTGGTGTAGTGTGTTAATCTTCCTAAGGGGATAACAGCACACTAGTACTGACTCTTCGGTTATTTTTTGGAAAAGCACTCTTCACTAGAAGAAGGTTTTCCTTTTAACCTACCATGCAATGAAAATATCTCCTGTGCACTGAAATTCCTCTCCCCACTGTGAGGCCAGAGTAACAGTGCCTTAACCAGATCAAAAAAGGGCAGTACTATTTTCTGAGCCACTGAAGTCTGCTGTGAGCTAGTCCAGAGAAAATATTATGAGCAATAATCCTGAACTGGAAGTGATAGTCTTGACATCTGTATGATTTTTTCCCAGTTGCTGAATTCTCCAATTCTACACTGCACTGTGACCAAAGGGAATAGAGTATATGAAACAAATGCCACAGAGATGGAATGTCTGACACAACACAGGGAACGGATTTCTGATGTGCAACTAAGATTTATTTTTTTATTCAGATAGGAAAAACAGATTGCTTTATAGTTAAATTAGAGGCAAATTCTGTAAGATTGATTGAATGGCTGGACAAAGCACCAAACAATGTAAGATGCCTTTAGTCTCAGTAAGGCATTTAGGATTTGATCCTGAGTGTTGAGAGTGTTTCCTAAGCCAGCTGCGACCTAGGTCTGTGCAAACATACCTGTTTCTGCTGTCTGTTCTGTGAGCTGGCCTGGGATCCTCTCACCTCTGAGCATCCTGGGCAAGCCCCTGCAGCATCCTGGTGGAGCAGGGTTACCCTGGGCTGCACTGGGCTCCTGCTTGTGGGTGCCCCTCCAGAGAGAAGGACATGTGCCACCAGCACGAACTCTGCATGGACAGAAAAGGGAAGGCAATCCCAGTGCAACACCAGGTGAAGCAGCCTGGCACCACAAGCACACCTTTACATCTCTCCTGCTCCTCCAAGAAGCTCTAAATTCAAACATCTGTGTGATGGTGAGGTCCCTGAGCTGTACAGGGGAGTGAAAGGAGTGAGTGAACTTCCCCATCACTTCTCCTCTATCTCATCACTTCTCCTCTATCTCATCTGGGGCACCCTGACCAAATGGCTGTGTTGCCAATAAGTTACACCTGTAGCACACTCCTCAGAAAGCCAGGGAGCTGCAGAGGCAAACCTGACACTTAACTGGTAGCACCAGAGGTATATGGAGTAAAAATACACCTTTATGCAAAACCACACAAAGGTATTTGCAAAGCTAAATTCTGTGGAAAGAAATCAAGCTTTTACATTTCCTAGCCTATCCTGGGGTTTAGGAACTGGAATGCTATATTAATTATCTGTGTCATGTCAGTGTTGATCTGTAGAGGCTTCCTTAGTTTTATGTACTGACCAGTGAATGAATTAACTTCATTTTTCAAAACAGAATGCTCTTGCCAGAGAGAAAGTCTGCTTCAACCCCAGAAGACTCTTAAATAAAGCAGTCACTGAGGGGCAGAAAACCATGTCCCAAAGCTCTTCCTGCAGAGCTAGAGAGGGATTTGAACATAACCTCCAGGAGATTACAATGGCCATTAGAATACCCAGGCTGGAAAGGTACCATCACTGGCCACCACTGCGAACCTTGCTCTGAGCTTTTCATATTTCCCCATTCCACTGAAAAAGAGACCAGTGCCTGGATGTGCAATGCAGGACTGAAGATCCCAGTGGGATGGAGTGAGATGAGATCTTGCTATATCCATAGGCTTCTTTCAGTCTAAGCCTCTGGGTGAATTTAACCTTTTACCTCAAAATTTTGCTCTTAAATCTTGAGGATCACTTTGTTCAACACTTAGGCAAATATTTTTGATAGTGTTGTGGTTTAACTCCAGCTGGTAACTAAGTACCCCACAACTCACTTGCCCTACCACCACACTAGGGAGGAGATTTGGATAGAAAAAGTAAACCTCATGGCTTGAAATAGGAACAATTTGACAATTGAAACAAAATTAAATATAATGGCTACAACAACAATAAAAATAATAATGCTACTACTAGTAGTAGTTGTCATGGAAAGGGGAGAGGGAGGAATAAAACCCAAGCAACAAAAATTATGTACAACAGAATTGCTCACCACCCACTGACCCATGCCCAGTGCATCCCAGTGGTGATGGGACTCCCTTCCCTAACTCCCCCAGTTTATATAGTGGGCATGATGTACTATGGAATGGGATACTATGGAATGGGATATCACTTTGGCCCATTGGGGTTCAACCATCCTGGCTTTGCTTCCTCACAGCTTCTTGTGCATCTGCTTTCTGTCAGAGCATGGGAAATTGAAAAGCACTGCTAAGCAATAGTCAAAACATCAGTGTGTTATCAATATTATTCTCATACTAAAAACAAGACACAGCACTGTACCAGCTACTCAGAAGAAAGTTAAGTCTATCCCAGCTCAAACCAGGACAGATACAAACATGCTCAAGCAACAGAGAATGTGTGATCATCAAAAACACACCTGGAGGTCAATGTAAAATTCTGTGTTATTTTCACTGAATTTAACCCCCTACAGGTTCTTCTGCCTGTAAGGGATTTCGGTTTTGCAGGAGCAATGTGCCTGAAAGCTTGTGGATTAAGAATGGTTCTTAGGCTTACTGTGAAGATGGAAAAGGAGACTTCTTGTGGTGGCATTCACTAGCAAGCATGACCTAAGCAGCCAACACACAGGTTTTTATCTAGTTTATAACCTGGATTCTCCTTAGAGGGTCCCAGCCCTAGTTTCTAGAAGCCTTATGAATGTACTTCTGCATGCTTCAAGCTTCTGGTGCAACCTACAGGCATCTTGCAGCCTATTTCCTTTACAATAAATTCCTACCCCAGCAGATCGTCTGCCCCTAAGGCCCTGTGCCAATCTCTTGTAGGGTGCTGCTCTTTGCTACCCTGCTCTCCTAACCAGTAGAAAATTACCAAAGCCAGAGCATGCAGTGCATATCTGTCACATTCACTGAAACACCATGTGGAAAAGCTCAAGAATTGAAGCACAGTGCTGTGAGTGACAATGCTGTGTGATGGTCTTCACTGCCACAGCCCCAAGAATATCTGGATGTCACTAACTCTATGGCATAGCCACAAATCCTCTATGTGGAAGACCAGGACTAAAAGGAGGGTGAAAATGCGAACACATGCAGATAATTAGATTTCGGTAAGAATCTATGAAAATTAAATGCTATTTAGTTGGTGAAATTCTGGATTTTTCATTTAAGAATATTCAACAAACTTTAAAATAGAAATGCTTTCTGTTATTTTTCATATTGATACATCAGATTAACTTTTAATGAGGATATTTAATATAACAATTCAGAAGAATTAAATGAGGTATGCAAAATTCATAGTAGATCTGTTTTTTGACTGGTGTCATTAACTCTTAACCTATGACTAAATGACCCTCAGAGAGAGAAGGTTATTGAGCAGTGGAATGCTCTCTTTGAAGTTTGAAAGGCCTTTTATTACTGTGTTCAGCATGACTTGCTTTTTAGGCATATGGACATGATTTACAGATTTCATAGGCAGAATAATAGTGCTAAAAATTCCTGGTGTGTCTTCATTTTTATATACTGAGGATGTCTTGATCACTTTATATAGTGAGGATGTGATATTTGTGTTATGTATGTAATAGGAATGACAGTACCTAAATATAAATTTTTATTTGTAAATAAATACACATGAAGTTTCTCAAGCCATCAGTTCTTATGAGTAGATAGCTTCTACTTATATGTGCTTTCTTCAGGAAGGGGACAAGGAAGAATATGAATTAGAAAAATAGCTAAATATGCACACTGCTTGAAAGAGTCAGGAAATATTTATTTACTTGCAAAACCATACTTGACTTCCAGAAGGACAGAGGTACGTGTGGCCTTACCAAATGCTGGTGACATGGAAGAAATTGAAGCACCTCCTGAAAGCACTGCTCTCATTTACTTCAAAAGCTATCACAGGTCATATGCTGTGACATTGCTTATGGCAAGAATTATTCATTGGAGGGTTGGCAGAGCACACATAAATCCTGTCATACTCATATACACTGCAAACACATAAATCTGTAGGAATCCTTTGGGCATCCACTCCAGCTGACTCGTAAGGTACCTTCCTGTATTCCAGCAAAAACAAATGTGAATCTGCTTAGGTTTATTTTTTGTTTTCTTGTACCACTGCAAGCCAGGATTTATGTGATTAAAGTTATTTTGTTTTTCAGTAGTGTGAAAAAAAGGAAAGAAAAATCTTGAGAACCCAGAACTGAATCTGAGGAAGCTCCTTCAGCTGCCTGTTTCCTTTGTATTTTCTAAATAACTGGTAAATGCATTTCAACTTCAAAATACCAAAGAGGTTGTCATCTTCTAATTCTGGACTTGTGGAGTGAATTGTTCTTTCTGCAAAGAACTACAAGGTGGATACCAGGCCAAGTAAATCTGTGTTCTCATTTATTAAAGTCTACATTAAAAAACAAACAAGCAGGGGTTACAAGTGATGTACTGCCATTCGTTTTATTTATCAGACTCCTACATCAGCAGTTACTTAAAAACCTCACAGTAAACTTTTAACTCAGGGGTAAAAAATCTGTTTTAAATTTAGATAAAACAGGAAAGTGCTTCTTAGGCCAATAAAACAAAATGAGTACACAAAATGATGTGTCTGCATTTTGACTTCAAGGCCATTAACACTCTTCTTTGTTTCCACTTTTATCATACTTTACAATACTACTCAATGTGAAAGGTCATTCCAGGCTGAGAGCAGTCAGTGGGGGATCCATAATTTAGCGTGAACTGTTTCCTCTCCTAAATATCTAAAGGTACATTTAAAATGTTTATG